AAACAGGTCACACACAATCAGTGAGAACTTTAGTTTTTTTCTTTTTTTCTCTGGCGTTATTTTAAAGCTTTGACATGAACATATAAAAGCATTTTTAAAATGAACACAAAAGAACTACTTTTAATGTCATTAATAAAGTTGTGTCCAAAAGTCGATTTCATCAAAGTCATTCAGTAAAACCAAGATAAGTATGGCGTACTATTACCTCACGACAGTCTTAAGACCTGCAGGAGACTTGCATGCCCCACATGGCCGAAATTTCTCCCAGGGTCCCGTACAAGTCTCACGGGACCCACAAGCCACACTTGCACCAGCCTTAAGAAGCACTCTCGAAACTCTCTCTCCTCTACAGAACCCACGAGCCTCCACGGGCCAAGAAATGTCTGCAGCCGTACGTGTGAATCGCCCTTGTGGTTTATTGTGACTAAGGCTTTACTGGGTCCACCAAGCCTCTGAAGTTTAGCACCTGTGTCCTTAAATCTGAGCTGAAAAATCTGTTTTTCTGTAATAACATCCTTATTCTTTCTGGAAACTTGTGTTTACCAAACCCTGAGCCGTACCTTTCACTGAGACGCTCTGGTGACGTCACACTCACAAACACAAACACAGACACAGACAAATGCAACTCCAGCCTCAGCGTCCAAGAGGCCACAGCAGAGGTGAGGGAGATCCTGTTGGCAGAGGTCGTGAAGATCAGTGGAGAAGAGGAGAGGAGCCTGAGCGACGCAAGCCTCCAAGTGGCCTCTGCAATTGTCGACTCCATCACAGAGGAGATCAGCTCCGTGGAGTATGAGTTCGGAGCAGAGCACAGAGGAGAAACCCCAGCCCAGTAATCGATGCAGGAAGCTCAAACGGACACTGAGCCGATGTGCCCCTTGCATCGGCGGAGAATGAAGAGGAGACACACACACGCACACACAGGTTTAAACCAGAACTAAACTAAGTCCAAACCAGGACTAAACCAGGTCTAAACCTTAATTTTTAATAAACATAGATAAAAATCCAAAAATATCATAACATTAGTTTTGCTCAGTAGTTGACTCGTGTGGTTGTTGTTCTCCTTTAAGAGTACGTTTACGCTGAAACAAATTCGCGTATATATCAAACTTAATATCACATGACTCATTTGCATCAACTGAGCGCTAAAAAAACAACAACTCTCATGTCGTCATGACTAGAGCCCGACCGATATAATTGGCCGATATGGGCACCTGGAGACATATTGGCTATTGGCCGATATGTTTGCTGATATGGGCCGATATTTCACGTGGGCATGTTATACCTCGTTATAAATCTTAGACTCTCTATATTATGTTCATTTAATCCAATTTACAGACAGATAAATGTCCTAATCTGTGGCTCCATTTATTTATCTACGGAGTCATTTGTCAGTGTGAACACACGCCACCCACGTCAGGTCAGTCACGTGCCTTTGTTTACATCCGCAGACATAGATCCATGTGCAACACTTAGATTCTATTCTCAATGGTTTGAGTCTGGATTAAAAGGACATTTATTAGTGCAGACTTGTGATGTGGGAGGAGCCTGTGTGAGGCGCTGAGTGTTGGAAATATGTCGACTTTGAAGCTAGTTTAGGTTATTGATTAGCTGCTGTAGCTCCCACACATAAACAGTCTGTTTTCTATTGGTCTATTGTAAAGTAACTGTATTGGCCGTATATTTGTTACTGGACCAGCATTGATATGTAAATGAGCTGTGAACAGACGTGTAAATTATGACATTTGTGCATATAATTAATTACCGCGGCGCGCAGCATTTACGGCTAAAGGCTAATAGCGGTAGTTTCTTTACTAGCTAGTAGTGATGGGTCGGTCACAAACGAAGCGGCTCTTAGAGCCGGCTCTTTGAAGCGAACGACAGGAGCCTGATCCTTATCGGGAGTCGTGTTTTCTCTTTCTCTCACTTTTTTTCTCTTCACGTCACGTGCAGACTCGTGGGAGTTTCACAGCAGCAGCAGCTCAAAACAAAACTTTCAGAAATCTGCGTGTGCATAGGGTAGAAAAATGTGCATGTTTGTCTGTAGTTCAGCATAAAATAAATAAACCAGGACTAATCTTGGGCTCGAGAGATGGAGAGAGATAGAGACCCGACACTCTGTCCTGGTTCAGTTCTGGTTTAGTCTTGCTTTAGACTTGGTTCAGTTCTGGTTTACTCCTGCTTTAGACCTGCTTTAGACCTGGTTTAGTCCTGCAAAATAACAATAAATGTTGCCTAAATAAACCCAATTTAAAATCCACTAGAGCCAAACCTAAGTTATTTTAAACAATTCAAGATTTACAGTGAATTTTTACACCACTAAATATATCGGTGATTATATCGGCTATCGGCAGTTTCAACTCCCATTTTATCGGTTTCATATCGGTCACAACAAAACCCATATCGGTCGGGCCCTAGTCACGACGTTAATGGACACCACAGTTTTCTATTGTCAAAGTCGTCACACTTGTTTCTTTAATGAAGTCATTTTAGATGAATATTGTGATTTAAAATATCCTAATTATAACAGAATGATCCACAGGGGTCAGAGGTCAGAACCACAAGCACTGCAGGTCTGATTTCACCTGCGTGTGTCTTTAATACGTACATGTGATGGTGAAGTTGATGACGTTGCTCGCCCGTTGCTTTTCCGTGTCACACCAGTAGAGGCCGCTGTCCAGAGTGAGAGTTTGTGTTTCTGAAGACCCCCGTGCCCCCCCCCCCCCCCCCCCCCCCCCCCCCCTAAACCAGGTCTAATGCAGGTGTAAACCAGGTCTAAACCAGGTCGAACACAGGTTTAAACCAGGTCTAACAAAGGTCTAAACCAGGTCTAATGCAGGTCTAAACTAGGTCTAAACCAGGTCTAATCCAAGTCTAAATCAGGTCTAAACCAGGTCTAATGCAGGTCTAAACTAGGTCTAAACCAGGTCTAAACCAGGTCTAATGCAGGTCTAAACTAGGTCTAAACCAGGTCTAAACCAGGTCTAATGCAGGTCTAAACTAGGTCTAAACCAGGTCTAAACCAGGTCTAAACCAGGTCTAAACCAGGTCTAAACTAGGTCTAAACCAGGTCTAATCCAAGTCTAAATCAGGTCTAAACCAGGTCTAATGCAGGTCTAAACTAGGTCTAAACTAGGTCTAAACCAGGTGTAAACCAGGTCTAAACTAGGTCTGTGTGTGTGTCAGTTTGTGTGTGTGTCTCTGTGTGTGTGAGATTGTGTGCGTGTGATAGTGTGTGTGATTGTGTGTGTGTGATAGTGTGTGTTTGTGTCTCTGTTTGTGTGTGATTGTGTGTGATAATGTGTCTGTTTGTGTGTGTGTATGTGTGTGTGTGATAGTGTGTGTGTTTGTGTCTCTGTTTGTGTGTGTCTGTGTGTGTGATAATGTGTCTGTGTGTGTGTGTGTGTGATAATGTGTGTGTGTGTGTGTGATAATGTGTTTGTGTGTGTGTGTGTGTGTGTGTGTGTGATTGTGTGTGTAATAGTGTGAGTTGGACACTAGAGGGCAGCAGCCTCCTGTGCTTTTCACTTTCAGTGATCGTTTTGTCGATTTCTCCACATGCAGCAGGATTTATTCTCTGTGATTTCATAATTTGATGTTATGAAATTCTTTATTTATTGTTTCAGATATATTTTATTTTGATATTAGGCTAATTTGTTCTGATATTTTCCTTTTATTTATAATACTTAGTACCACACACATATTCCAAACATCCATTGCCATCCATCTTTTTAAATTGATAGTTATATTTTATTTGAGCCTGCTGACAGTCTGTCTGTCCGACCGAGCAGTGACCGTGTCCTTTTGTCTTTCGGCGTACAACAGAAAAGCGTCCTCCCGTTTAAAGGTGACATTCTCAGAGTAAATCAATGGTGTTATTCTTCAGTGCAGACTAATGTGCGCAGACTAACGGGACGTGCACTCTGAGGACAGGACGGTGACGCAGCTTGCAGTCACATCGTCCGTCATCATCAAAACAAACGCATCTCTGAGTGCACTCAAATGCCCCACGCCGCCCGGGAACTGAACCCAACACCTTCTATAAGTCACATTTGCATTTTCAACACTAGGAAAATAGACTGATCAAGAATCTCGGACTTCCGGTCATTGTGCAATTCATACTGGGAAGGATTTTCCAAAAAAGTGAGCATCAAACCTCCATGTTTGTTTTCCCAGTCTGATGTGTCTATTGTCAAAGTCAATCTTTTCAAGTCTTTTGAACCATATCACTTTTGTTTCTGGTTCTGATATTGTCATATTTTAGTTTTGGGATTCAGACATCATAATTGTGTGGTTGTTGGATCCTAACAGCGGAAAATGGCTTGAGAAATGTGTTTGCAAACTTCAAAACTGCAAAAGGGAATCAGATGAGTGTTACTCAGACCTCTGTTCAAACTGTTTCTCTTCCCAACGGAATTGAAAAATAGTGAAAGGTGAAGGTGATGGGCAGGATTGATCCACAGGAAAGACAAGAAAGGAAACCTTTAACTGCCTAAATCATCCTGAGTTTGCAGGAAACATTTTGTATGTGGGATCCTGTTTGTTAAGTGAGAGGAGCAGAAGACAAACACACTGAGCTGCACTTTCTTGTTCTTGTGGTTTTACAGCAACATCACATCTTGGTCTCTTTGCAGTGGAAGGTGTTTCTTGGTGAACAGCTGCTGCCTTTTGCTTTGGCGTTGACTTTTTAAATTCATAACCAAGGTTGAGTGATGGATCGAGATTCTGCTTTGTTGTCGCTCCGCATACAAAATATTCTCTGCAAACTCGGGATGATTTAGATAGTCAAGTGTTTCCTTTTTGGTTCTTCCTGTGGACCAATCCTGCCCATCGCCTTCACCTTTCACTATTTTTCAACTCTGTTGTGAAGAGAAACAGTTTGAACAGAGGGTTGCAGTCATACACATCTGATTTACTTTTGCAATTATGGAGTTCACAAACAAATTTCTTGAGCCGTTTTCCGCTGTTAGGATCCAACAACCACACAATTACAATGTCTGAATCCCAAAACTAAAATATGACAATATCAGAACCAGAAACAAAAGCGATTTAGTTCAAAAGACTAGAAAAGATTGACTTTGACAATAGACACATCCCACTGGGAAAACAAACATGGCGATTTGATGCTCACTTTTTTGGAAAATCCTTCCCAGTATGA